AGTGGTAGCAGCAGCAGTAGTAGTAGCAGTAGTAGTAGTAGCAGTAGTAGTAGTAGTAGTAGTAGTAGTAGTAGTAGTAGTAGTAGGAGTAGTAGTAGTAGTGGTAGTCGTAGTAGCAGGAGGAGGAGGAGGAAGAGGACGAGGGCAGTTGCTCTTCTTGTTGTTGATGTTGCTGCTGTTGCTGATGGTGATGTTGCGCTGTTCTAGATCCGCAACACTGCGATGTTCATGATCAGGATTCCGCATTTGGAGTTTAGAGGTTTGGTGCTATGGCTCATGTATTCTCTGCACCGCCGTGCTTCAAGATTCGTTGCCTCAAAGTCGTCGGGTGACCTGTCGCAGGTGTTGCCTCCCATGAGATCGAAACTCACCGACACATCTGGCACAAAATGGAAGTATACGGGGCCTGGCTGCTATGTTGCACACGAATGCCCAAGCCCTCAAAGACCCAAAGCCCCTCAAGCGCTGAAATCCCTCAAACCTGAACCCTAGAGCACTAAAGCCGTATCCCATACCCGGGTATGCAAGCATATGTCTTGAATCACAATAGGTTTTGATTTGTTTCTTGAATAACAAAATGTTTTGGGCTCTGTGGAAAGCCGACACCATAAACTCCAGCAACCTTGAACCCTAGAACCCTAAACCCTAAACCTCCAAACCCTAAAACCCAACCCCTAGGACCCAAAAAAGTTAAAACCCCAAACCCTGAACCCTAACACCCAAAAAGCTTCAACTACTGAGCCATAAAGCCCTATAGAGCCGGAACCAAAAAGAAAGAAGACTCTACACCCGACAACCCTAAAGCCCCTAAGTCCCAAAACCCCAAACCATTAAGACAACAAGAGAACTCCCTACTCCCTGACTCCCAAAATATTAATCCAACCAAAAACAACCGAAACCCTAAACCCTGAAACCCTGAAACCCTGAACCCTAAACCCTAAACCCTAAACCCTAAACCCTAAACCCTAAACCCCAAACCCTAGGCTCTATACCCTAAGGCCTTCTTTTTCGAGGCGCTCCGCTTTCTCGATCGGCTCTTCTCCTGAAGAAGCCGGGTCCGAAGGATACGTTTTGGGGTTTTTGGGTTTAGGGTTTAGGGTTTAGGGTTTAGGGTTTGGGGTTTTGGGGGTTTCTAGGGCTGGTGGGGTTTTAAAATTAAGTAGGGTTTTAAGGCCTAGGGTGCAAGGTTTAGAGTATGAGGCTTATGGATTGAAGCTTAGGGTTTCAAGCCTCATAGGCAAGTTTTAGGGTTTAAGGCTTCCAGGGTGTAATATTTCTAGTTCAGAGCTCAAGTTTATAGGGTTTAGGGTCCAAGCTGCACGGCTCAAGGGGGTTTGGCGGTGTTGATTGCTCGTTTGAGGCTTCGGGGTTTGGGGATGTTAGGGGATGGGGGGTTTGAGAGGTTTTTGGTGTCTTATAAAGTGTTGTAAAGCTCCTAAGATTTGTGGTTTTGGGGGGTAGGGCTTTCGGACCGTCAGAGGTCAGCGGCTTCAGGGATTCAACGCTTCAGGGCTCGGGCTTAGGATTCAGAGCTTTTTGTTTTAGGGTTCTTGTGTTCGTCGCCTGCGCTCCGAAGCCCATCTAGGGCAGGCAACATTCGACCCTTTTACGCACCTTTACTTGCCAGAAGGAAAAGCATATGAAAAGCCGAATCCCAGCCATGTCAGACTGAGCCATACACACGGTGCAAGGAATGGAAGATTCTCGACATCTCCATGCCCCGAGCAAAATGATGTGGCTGTAACATCGTACCCGGAAGAAGCCGGTCACCCATGTTAGAAAACCTATCTGCGTTCAGCCTTTCAGCATCTTTTCAGTCGGCAAGCTCATTGTCGCGGCACACCTCTAGTACAACGTTCAGGGCAACCCTTGGCCCAGTCAGATGGCACCATCTGCAGCCACTGTCGGCATAAATGTAATTGATAATTTGCTTGAGTCCCAGGGCATGCCTGACCGTTCATGCAGCCATGACAGAGTATCAGAGTCGTGCCAGTGCCTGCTGTATCCTCTTCGTCTCCGGCTACTGCAGTTGTACCATCCATGTCCCCACCTTGGGTCCGTGTTCCGCGAACGCGTATAACCCCTTGTTTGCTTTGCCAGATGAATACCAGCTGGTGTCTTTCCAGGTCACAGGAGGCTGTAGTGTAGAACTCACCTCATTGCAGGAAGCTGCCACTTCAGCACGTCTTCTATCTCTGCCTCTTCTCTTTTTGCCTTCTGGTCCTCGACCACAACTATAGTAGGTGCACTCCCTGCACCATTGTGTCCGTCCTCCAGGTGCTGTCTTCGAGCATACAGCACCGATCCGTGAGTTGTTGCATGACCACCCTCTGCACCGTAATCTTGTCCTCAATCTCCTCATAGGCCCGTATCATCTCCGATCGAGCATCTAGGTCCATGCCAACCTCGGCTCTCGCCGCACCCAAACCCCGTGGGCTTAGGGTTTAGGGTTTAGAGACTCATGGTGAAGTTTAAGGGCTTTCGGATATTGAGATTTAGGGCTCAAAGGGTGTCGGGAGGATGACAGCTTCGGGTTATTGCCGTAGACTACAAGCTAAACCCACGCCCTCAACCCCCGAACTCGGAACCCTAACCCTCACCCGCCTCAACCCCCGAACTCACTGCTGTAGGTACCAGAATCACTAGAAAAAGGGCTTCGGGAGGTATTCTAGCATATATGTGATAAGAAGCCCTGAAGAATGATATGGGTCATTATTTGGTATTATTTTAGCCCCTACATTAAACCTTTGAGCCCTACCAAGCCCTAAACCCCAAACCCCTCAACCCTAAACTCCTCAACTCACTAAACCCCTGGACCCCCCTAAACCCTAAACCCTGAACCCTAAGGAGCTGGCCTTCTTCTTGTTTTTGGATCGGCTCCGATCCTTCTTCTTCTTCGACCTCCGCCGGGCCAAGAGACGTTCGCATCCGAAGCCCATTTTGGATTTGGGGGGGTTTAGAATAGAATATAGGGTTTAGGGTTTAGGGTTTAGGGTTCAGGGTTTAGGGTTTAGGGATTCAGGCGTTGGGGTTTAAGGATTTCTGGTGTATATTTGCCAGCTTTTGTGGGCCACATGGGCACACCCAACCCCCACCTCCCTCCCCCTGTTTCCCATACCTTTAATGCAATCACCAACCCACTCCTTACCCGGTCTCCGGACCCCAACGTTTACGGGTTTCGGGTTTCCAAGGTTTCGGGTTAAGGGGGTTCTCAGGATTGCCTAAGGGTTGCATTGAGGTTCGAAGTCCAGGATTCCCAGTTGAGAGAGTTTGGGGGCTGGGAGTTCTTCCAGGCCTAAGTGCAGAGTTTGGTGCTGATGGGTTGCTCAGCGCTTGAAAGCCATGCCAGCCACATACCACCATCATGCACTGACGAGATGTCGTGCGAAGCCCTAACAGCCTACACCCTAAACCCTAACCCACCTCTGAATCCTTTGGAGTCTAACCGACCTACAGTCTCCCATCGTATCTCCTTTTCGGGGATATAGCCCATAGTATCCTTGATACAATATTAGATTGGTTAAACCAAAGAAGGAATTACAATCCCTCAACCCTAAACCCTATTCAACCGTATTCAACCCTAAACTACTGAACTCCTAAACCCTAAACCCCAAACCCTAAACTCCCAAACCCTTTTCCCTAAACTCCTAAACTCCTAAACCCTAAACTCCTAAACCCTAAACTCCTAAATCCTAAATCCTAAATCCTAAACTCCTAAATCCTAAACTCCTAAACCCTAAACAATGGGGGCTTTAGGCAAGCCCCCAGAGCCTTGGCTGAAGAGGCCGAGCCTCGAGAACTCAAAACCCCTGTGCTGTGACAGCAGAGAATACTTTGTAGTTTAGGGTTTAGGGTTTA